TGGAAACCTATTTACTATTTGAAATACTCCCAAGAAATTGTAGAATTTTGATAAATAGTGAAGATAATTCGAAGTTGTTTCCAATTAAACATAACATTATCCGACATGATTTTATCATTCAGATATACCTTATTTTTTCAATACAAAGTTTTCACATCCAGCAATCATTGATTTTGTGGTTTTATCACTGCCGATACAAAAATCATTTATGGAATAACATTAACTTTATATAATACTTAGTAATCTCATCCCGTCACCTCGATTTATCTATATATATTTAGATGATGTTTGAATGAATATTATCTGCGTATTTAATTGATCCATCTTTTTTTCCATCAGTTTTTAAAAAGTAAATATATTCTTATGCATAAATTTTCATAAGAAAACATCGGGGCTAATATTCCATCTATGGGTTCAGACGCTAACATCCAACATGTAATATTGACATCTGTGAGATATGTAAAGCCTACCTTAAAGTAGACACATTAACATGTAATAATGAGATTAATATTCTTTTTGTGTGAGAAGCCTAAAAGTCAGCCTGTTGCCTCGTCTAGGAGAGCGGTAGAAAAGACGTCAAAGAAAATACTTCGCTATGATGAATTTTTTGAGTTCAGCCGGAATCGCACGATGATCTGACAACTTGAAAATATCTTTTTTGGAATCAGCTTTATGGCAACCTGAAACGTAGTATGGGACGAGGTACGATGGATAATGACAATATTTTCACATTGTCACATTTGTAATAAGTGCGAGTTCCGCTGCAGTTTATTTCTTATAAACTTTGACTGCCGTTTGTGTTACGTAATCAGCTACGGATATCCTATTGCCGCCTTTAGTGATGAAAATCACATCGTTAGAGTTCATTACCTTTCATGTCTTCAACGACAATCAATAAAAAAGCCATCCAGGTCACGAGAATACTGAAATTCAAAAGTGCCAATGTGAAAGACGACCTTTTGCACTTTGGAATTTTCCTAAGTGATCACTGATTCGCAAAGTGGAACGTGCTTCAACGTCAATTCGACTGCAAAATTTTCTTTTTTCAGTTTCAGTCTATGTAGAAACTCTACCAAGTCCATCAGAATCAGAAGGCGTATTGACTAACGCAGTCGTGTCCGAAGCCGGATACCGAAACAATAGGGTACATCGATGATTGTCGATTCCAGGCGGAATACAGCAAAAAAATAATATAGCGAACATATAAAGAGCATCATTGCAAGATGGATCTACTCGGCAACAAGCAATCCTCACGTAGACAAATAGTCCAATATTATGTAGGCGTATACGTAATTTATCAGGAAAGACATAAGCAATTCCTTAGAACATAGACACACTCCTTTCTGCATCACAATTGGTAAATGACTAAGATAATTGTGTAGACTGACGAAGTACAATCATAGCGCCACAAAAAGAGCATCAAAGGAATTATCTACCAGTCTATGCCAACCAGCTGGGGCTCCTAAAATAACATCGACAGTAATTCACGCGCGTAGAACCCGGCAAGGAGGAGAGTGAAATAGGCTATTGATAAAATAAGCATTGATTCATTTCTCGTGAAACAGTCAGTACTTCCTCGATGGGATCAGTAGAAGCAATTCAATAGGTTGAAAGTACTTGAATGTTTTAATAGGATTGAAAATCTAGTTGCAATTTACTCTATCGTAAACGTATGTACCATACTCTTTATATAGCTTTACATGTATCGACAGCGCACGATATTGATAAGTAATTATTTGAGATGAAAGTGATTCATAGCATTCAATTTGCAATCGAAGACGTAGAGCTCTGGAAGGAAGATTACTGAAAGTAATTTAGATCTGTACAAAAGATTTTTTGCTTAAGGAGAGGGAAACAGATAACACCAAAAATAACAATATATATAGCAAAGTTAATTTTGTCATCAGGTTATCATTAAAAGCTTCCTAAGCATGTAGGCCATACGCGTCATTTTTAGAATAGATGGTTTCAAGCATTTGTTACTTGGACCACAGTCTACAACTGCAATTGTAACAAGGGTCGTGAATATTTAGATTTAACCAAAAATCAATATCTATTGTAAATTCATGCCGGTCCTAACAATATCACTGTGATTTCATTCGCATCGCACAACAAAAGTTTTAACGCGTATCAGAATATGATCAAACAAAATCACGTATTTCTCAAAATTTCATAATTTTAGTCACCATTTACAGCCTGTTAACCAATGGTCCTCAGTCTGGAAGTTGAAGTAGATGGCGTCATACCTGATTACGTCATAGATATCAGAAGAATATTGTTTCCGACAACTTGCAAAAGTCGGTTGTAGCTGCGCCGTTCCAAATTTTAGTCTTGACTTTTTTTAAATCTATACGTGGTGGGCCTTTTAACAGTTTATATGTGAATAGCCGGATTCATTTTTAGCGTCAACTCGGCCGTTACAAAATGTTGGTGAGTCTTCATTTCTTTCGTTCGTACCCGGAAACGATTCAAAAATAAATAGCCGCGTATAAATCAATAATTCAAATATACAGATTAAAAGATCTCGAATTGTTCTTGTCCTAAGTGCGATTGCTTTGAAAGATAGCGAAATGGCGATGAATGATTTGGTTTGTGCGGTAAGCAGCATAAGGAAAGGCAGAGGGCAAGTAAATGATTTTATACCGATGTGACAATATCCAGAATTTGAAAATATTCAGGAGTTTTTTAGCAAGAAATGGGAACTCATGACGTTGGGTTTTCAAATTTTTATACGTATTTATCCTATCTAGAGTCTAACTGTGCTCTTGTATTTGCGATGCAATTGTAGTTATGGGTATTTTACTTGGAATTTGCCACCAATATGTTATCTTGTCAATGACTGAGCAAATTCTTACCTTGCTATATTTTTAGATTTCGTCCCTGATTTGTCGGCTGTGAACTTTTGTTCTTGCTATTGGGTTGTCATCATATTGTCGTACGGACAAAAACATGTTTTTGCACTGAAATTACCGTGGCTTCAATTGTTTGATTTATTTCTACAATAAAATTAGGAATTGTTTCGGCGGGTCTAAAAATAGAATCGATTGTCTTTTTTCGCGTTTATTTCTGCAGAATTAGAGTTGTTGAGACAAAGCTTCTGTTAAATTGACGACTTGGTCAATCAATTTTGATCCAATTGTTTTCTTTTTATTCTGGTAATTAAGGGGCGGCACAAATCGAACTGTTTATCCAGTTGAAATGATCGTGCCACGTTCAAACCATCGTGTCACGTTTTATTATCGTACTTGACTGAACTGAAAAACAGGGCGGCTGAAGATCTTAAAGGGAAATTCTGTTAAGTTCAAGCACTTCGTTGAATGCTGCGAGATAGCAAATCTGTTTGCCAATTTCGTCACCATATCTCCATACCATATCATTATTTTCATAACAAATGATAAAGAGCGCGAAACAAACAAATGAAATAAAAACATTCAAACATTGGCATCCGTGCGATGATGAATTCGTGTGAGAAAATACTGTTTTTGTTGTTTTACGTCATTTAAATTCAAAGGTGTCACGAAATAATAGAACCAAAGTTGTGAATCGTACTGGAATTTTGGGCTGGATTCGGACATTCAGTTTTTATTGAGAAAACAAACATGTTTGTGAAAATGTCTGGGAATCAATTCCAATTCACAGCAAAGTTTTGTAACGGTATTCAATTTGGTTAGAATACTTCAACTTTTGAGTTCACCTAGGAAATAAATTAAAACTTGTTTCAGATTCACGACGTAGAAGAGAGTCCGCCAATAACTCCAATATGGGTTAGCTATTTTAATACCGACGTGAATCGCAATATATAGTGCTAGAATTAGTATTATATATATTACGTTACACTACAGTATAGTATATGTAATGCATATAAATCAATGCATGCGATGTGAAACTGTCGGCATACGACAGCCGAAGTTGACAAGATATTAATTACACATTCGAGGTCGTTTCAAACTGATCATTAGTTCGTCGGTATATGAAATTACATCTGTACTCCCCGTACAAGCAATTCAATATGTATATTATTCAATACATTGGTTCCCTAGAAATGCTTGATTTAAACACTTCTCAATAATATCTGCTTGTTTGTTCATATCTTGGGAAATAAGGTACTATTGGTAGCAAAACGATTCAAGCATTGTACTGAGTAGCAACCATTCATAGAGAGAATATTATTTTCGTCAACAAAAAAATGAAAGAACAAATGAAAAACGCTGAAGGTATGGAAGTCAGGTCAGGTTTAAATAGTTGCTCTGATCAGTGGGCTATCTACACAGTAAAAGAAGATTGTGCGTTGTAACTTTTTTTTAAATATTGTTTTCACCTACGTCAATTTTTTAATAATGTAAAACCATGCTTCCATTAAAATCTAGATTGGAGGATACCCAAATCTGATGATTTAGCATGAAGAGTTCGGGATAGGAAGCATTAATTTTATTTTTTGACAAATGAAGGAGTGCAAATATTTCACTTTCTTGCCACATTTTTCGAAGGTTATTGTTTGGCAGATACATCAAAAATTCTTGCCCGTATTACTCACTAATTTGGGGAAACAGACAACCTGTCCAATTACGGCACTTTTTTTAATTTGTAGTCATAATATCACTCGTACATGTACGACCGAAGACCAAACTTTTGTTGTGATTTTTTATAGAAAGTGAATCGATAAACCATCAGAGTACTTTCTATTACTTTTTCATGTTCATTATTATTTATTGGGGTTATCATTACTCATAATTTAGTCGTATATTTATGTATATATACAACGCCCGGAGTACATTCCATCTTAATGGGTTCGCTTGAGAACCATCCACAGTAGTAAAAGTACATATACATTTGTTTGTAATGCTAAAGACCTTTGCAATCAAAACGGTGGTATATCTATAAGTATAATCCTTGTGGCATAATTTTAATGAAAATTAACTAATTTTTGCTGCAGTCGCCGATCTCCACTGTGTACTCCGCGCTTTTACTGTCTTCTCATTGTTTCCTCATTTCTTTTCTGGTTTGTCAATTCATTTTCAGACATAACTTTAATATTGTATAGGAGAAGGAGTTGTTAGGCAATGAAGGCATAACTGAAGAAGAGAATCCTATATCATGCTTTACAGCCTGTGAGAGAGAGAAAAAACTTGGGACAATTTATAAAGTTATTTTCGTAATTTCATGATCTCTTACACATTTCCCAATTGTCAGAAGACGAAAATGTCGACAGAATGCAAAAATCTCATAAATTTGCGTAACCAGAATACAAGAACTGGAGCCCTCATTGGAATTGGGCTGATATATCTGTTTTTTGGAGCCTTCATTTTTCACAGTATCGAACAAGATCAAGAAGTCCTAGATATGGCTCGACTAACTGAAGAAGAAGAAAGGTTAAAGTAAGTCACAAAAATGAATCTATATATATTGAATATACATTAGTTTTTAGCAGTGGACGTAATTTTTTTAATATTTAACGCTGGATAATTATAGATTTACGGATGGAAAAGTACAACACTTGTGAATATTTTTTTACTTGTAAATATCGATGCTTGCTTTAAGTGCAAACAGAGGAACGCGATTTTCTACTTTTTAGGACTAATTAAAGCAGATTCGTGAATTACCTCTTCATTTTTATTATACAACAATTATGTGAAGAATTCCAAATGTATTGTCTATCTCTATATTAACGCATGCGGCGTTCCATAGCTTTACTGCGTTATTTTCATCGCTTTAGCCCGTTTAGAAACTACTCGTAATTAGTAATTATGAAACACTTAAGGATGGCATATTTTAAAACGCCAAATCTTTTTAATGGCAGTATTTTTATAGGGAGTTAACCCTAAATAATTTAAATATTTTTCTTGTAAATAATTTACGTAGTGAAATGCTTTTATTGCGTACGTCACCGACGTAATTCAATAAATCAGATGCACGTAGCATCAATTCTTTATGCACTTCTTAGAAGGAAAAAAAAATACAAAGATAGATTACAAAGAAGACGGTTCAATATTTAACGTAAATAAACAAAGGCAAACTCATTCGCGCCAGTTCTACCGCATAAAATAAAATGAGGTAAAAATTTCGTAAATTAGGAATACTTCGAATAAAGATCCTCCATGCGATATTCAATTAGGAAATATGTGACAAACCGCGTCTCGAGGACCGCATGCGGGTACAGGATTAGTTAGCCAGTTATTTGTTTCCACATGCAACATGATGGTGGAGGAAGCCGTAACCGACCAGCGGTCCTCTGATGCTGTCGCAGTCTTGGATCCCAACAGCACGAGGCGACTAATTGCTCAAACGTCGGTTTCACGTCGCACTATTCAAATGCGCATCACCCAAATTAGTACCAATGTAACAGTTACAATGCAAAATGATTTAATCAGCCCTAATATTAATAATTTCAAAAATTATGCGGCTGTCACAGATTTCTGACTTGCGGATGCACGCGGCTCTTATACCAAAACATTGTGCCCAGTCCTTGTATAGTAGATTTATAATGAAGATTATTAATCATGTTATCTATTATAGAAAATCTGTAATCTTTGTGGGGTATAATGTATTATATCGATTTTGTAATTTTACACCATTGTATTAAAGATGATGTCAACCTATTTTTACATACAATTCAGTCATCGTAAAATCGATCCCTATTTCAAGCGATAAATTTAATACTAATGGTAATGTGTGCTGATAGAGTTCTACTCCAATTTTCTATACCGTATCAAGTATAAGATTTTTGTGGCACCGATCATACGTGCACTATACAAAATTCAGTGGGCTATATATTGATCATGTTTGAACAAAAAACTATTGATATTCAAATCTGAATTCTGAACATATGAGAGCCTGAATTTTGCGTCCCACGGGGAAATGAATATATTCGTTTTCATTTGCCGAAAGGGAAATTGACGACTGTCGGTATGAACAAATTAGATTAAGTTAAATTAGGATCATTTAGCTGTCCATTTCAAGTTTCACGCTTTTGTGATTTCTTGTGAAAATTGAGTTCAGTAATGGGGCTTAATGCTCGCCATTGCTTTTATGTGACAAAAATATTTGAATTAATGTTCTTGGAATATCTACCAAAACATGTTATCTCTGTGGGTTTTAAACAAATAGAGCTATTTACCACCATTGAAAATTCCAAGTATTGAACGTTAGATAATATATACGTATTTTCAGTAAAAGCGTTTTGACTCACTTTGTATATTTAATTTGGGAAGCAGCTTTAGCATAACAAAATGACCGATTTGCTTTGCACCTTATATAACTTAAATCTGAAGAAAAATTCTCTGTTAGTGACACAATTGTTGTATCAGATCATTTGGTTCAACATTTAACTCGAATCCCATCCAGGTAATGCAATTGTACAAACGTTTTCGAAATGCATATATTTCTCAATATGTATACATACATTTGTTATAGATGTAAACATTATCGTAATGCTTTATGCGGATAATACATAGATTTATTCCTAGGCCCAAGAATAACCATATGTTTGCAGATTTTAAATCGCTTTCTCGAAAACAACAAGGTATGCGCTGCTTTATTCATTCTTCACATTCCAATAATGCATAGAAAAATACAATTTCATTCTTCATCACCGTGTGGTTGTAGTGCCTTTGTATTTCAGAAAGCTTGTTGACATTTTCAATCATTTGTAAATCAAAGGCATAAATCAACATGACGCGGGTCGTAACCTCCATAAACGGATGGTAGCCTCGTCCTAACAATACCATCCAACCGCAACATCAAACGTGGCTTAATTCAATTCCCTGAGCCTCATACTGACTTTGATCGCTGGAATTGAAGCGCGCTTTCTATTTGCTTGGGATAATGCCAAGTGCCAATTATTGTGGTATTGCTCATATATATATAACTATTTTTACTCTAATGAGTATTACTACTCATATGATACTGTTGGCAGATTGCTTGGAAAATTTGAGTCGATCAATTCTAGCTGCAACAATCTCTGATGCAGCAAGTAATAAAAAGGATCAAAACAGAAAATAACTGAATAAACTATTTCGTTTGATGTGGGCGCTAGTTTTCTTTGCAATCACCAACAGAATGCTTTTAATTTTGAAAAATTCGAATCGTGTCTCACTATTCCTTTTCAATTCTTTCGGCAATAAATACCCAATCACTGCAAACAGGAATGAAGTTGTTGACAACAACTTACAGTTTGAAAACTCACATTCGACTGATGCATGAACGTCTGTGCTGAGTAAAATGTACATTGTAATAACTGACAGTCATTTGTTACAAATTGTGGTTTATAAAAACAAAATAGAGCAAACTCTTTCACTGGCAGCGAGATACAAATGGTCTGTTTATTATTGTGGAACCTCAGGAAAGCAACGCAGTTATATCCATTTACAATTTCGCATATTTATCTGCCATTGAATAAATTTATGATGATCTCTTAGACTTCCAAAACACATGAAAAAGATCGCATTGATTTATCTGGCACTCCTTCCGCTGATTTGTGTCTCTACGGAAGTGTTGGTTTTACTTTTCAATTATAAACCTATTTATTATTCTGGATGAAATCTTCAAATCGGAAAACAGTAAAAGATTCTCGCTTTTCATCGTCACCAGCGTGAAGATATATTTTGATTTGCGGGATAGCGATCTTTCCGGATCGAAATAACTCAAACCCGTGTATTACATATTTCATGATATGGTAGACTTCGACCAACCGGTGGTCTATCTAGCTTTATTGATGGTGATAAATGATTCCAATACATTCATTTGAGGAAGTTGACTCATAAACAACGAAAAATATTTAATTTTCAGTGAAACGATCAAAATGCGCTTATGGTAGCTTTCAATTTCGTAAAATAAATATTACATTCAATCTCATATGGTTATAGATGTTAATTAATATGAACCAACTTCATATATACCCAATCCACTCCAAAGCACAGTACTTATTTAACGATTGTCATTTTACTCCCCATGATACACACGATTATTTCCCAGTCCTTCATGTTAGAATAGAATTGTGAAAAATATGTTTAACGAACTGTTTTTCTCAAAAACTTGATATACGTGCAGACCGTCTGAAATAATTTTTATTGTATTCTTATCAAGCTATGAATAACAATTGACATATTTTGTTAGATAAGCTGATCCTATCACGAGATATTCATACCAATTATGATCATTGCGTAAATCGTATATAAAGAGCGTGGCTTACCACTGAGGAAAACGTAACCGCGTTGAAGTTTCTTTGAAATGTTTTTCCGTGACAACCTTAGTTTAGTTGAGATCATCTTATGGTTGATTTTCCAAAAAAAAGAAACTTGACAATGAGAAAAGTAAAGTTCATTATAACAATACAATGAATAAGTAAAGAATTTTAATAATTCATATCTAAAGGCGAAAATGAATGCGAATAAATGTCACCTCGTCACCGCAAATTTATGAAATGGCTCGACGTAACTGAAAAAGTGTTGATGTATTATATATATTGTATAGATAGACTGAAGGGCGTGGAAGACTGATTCATTTGAACGTGTATTTATCCAACTACAGTAAAAATAAGCTTCGTAACATTTTAATGAAATGTTTTGTAACGTAGTTTAAGCCCCAAAGTATTCATACTACACGGAAAAAGTGCACCAAAAACATTCAATATGTACAAGGTTTAAGTATCGTTATAATCAGTTGCGTTTTATTGACAGGGCTGTATGCTCAGCGTAATAAAATCAAAGAAATTATCTTGTCGAATTATACAACAACATAAACTTCGCAAGTCGGTTGTGCTCTTTCTAGATGAAAAGTCAACTATAAACTTGATATCAATTATGTCCTTTTACAACCACGAGAATTAAACCAATCTGGCCTTATTGAAGATTGTCCTCATAACCTTTGTGCAATTGAGTATACGCATCAATTTTCACACTCTATAATGCTCTTTATGGCGCCTCTATAAAGTCGAAAAGCAGGAGGGGTAAATAATTGATGATCTACTCAAATTCCATTCTTTTTCAGACACCAAAGACTGATCTGTACATGCATTAATTTAATTCCATCAAAGTATTTTCTTTTTCTGAGGAATTCAGTATAACGCAAGATTCATTCATGTATCATCGTTGTATCTTTATTAGATGCTGCAGAAAAGACGAACATTAAGAGAATTTTACATTTTATTTTTAGGCAGAAATACAATATATCCAGCGAAGATATGGATAAACTAGCCAAAGTATCGATAGACCTGGAGCCGTATAAAGCCGCAACACAGTGGGATTACACCGGAGCTTTGTATTTCTCTATTATCGTTCTCACTACAATAGGTAAGGGATCGTATTTTCACTCGTAAAATTAATAAATTAAAGTGTAGACGCAATAAAAGTGGATAAATTAGAAAATTATCGGTGAAAAAGAGACGGAGAAAGTTGATCAGCAGTTGAAAGATATCTAGTTTTTATAACGTACGCAATTTATTCACCATCATGCACGATACAGATAAAAATGTGAAAAAGACTCAAATTCGATTAATCAAATTCTCGCGAACAACCACGAAATATAACTATCATTCACAAAAAGTTTTGTCAAGGAAATTTTTATTGAAACTAGGATGATTATAAAATACAAAACAGATCTTGTATTAAATGACAGTTGCTCGTTTTAAAACTCCCCCTTGTATGATCTTCCTTTTTTGAAATTTCAAATGTGCCCAAATTATATCGTTTGATGTGCTCCTGTTACTTGAATGAACGATATATTTATGAAGCTAAAATTTCTCAATTCAATATACCTATAAAAAGCAGATATGACGGGTTTTGATACATAATCAATTGATTAGATGAAATGCATTTAAAAAATAATGCTCATACTGCAATAGCTAATGTATTCGTGTTGACATATTACGGAGAAACATGACTACAACATCAAATGAAGAAACATTGATGAAATATCACGTTTGAAGACAGTTGACTCCAGCCTTTTTCAAAAATAAGAGGCAATGTTTTTCCGAAATTTAATGAACACTTTATAACGAATCTGATTGTAGTTCAAATTTATACTATTTGGCAATATATTAGCGTTTTAAAGTTCAATACTGGCTAACAAATGATCACTTTGAAATGACATAGCGACGTTCACAAACAAACTTGTGCGGTTGCGTGGAACCAATGCACAAAAATTAATATACATCCTCGTTTACGTATTGCAATCATAGTACATCGTTAAATCAATTGTTTAACAAATTCCAAGATATATTTTCCAGATTTGATGAAAAAAAGATTGAAATAATTCAATTTCTACGTACATATTTTATTCACATAGTTTTATTGAAATATGACAAAGCTTTTTGTTAGGAAACAATACCCCCATATCCTTGTAATGGAAATATTCAATCAGTATACAATCAGAAGTACTGACTGTTATATGCCTAAACCGTGAATGAACTCTGTATTAGTCACTATATATATTATCAAGGTGCAATATTGACTCATCGTTATAATCTGGTTGAATTCGTGTCAAATTTCAAAATATTCCAAACTTCAAAATGTTGACTGAGTAGGATTTTGACTGATGCATCAGCATCGATCTTACTCAAAATATCTAAGAACTTAATGAAGCGTACCTGACAAAAACGTCATATCTGGTTGTATGAAATGATACAATTCATCATATTATCATTCTAGTCCACATAAAAAAACATCTTACTTATCGCAATATATTCTAACAAAATTTGTCAGAATCAGTTCATTGAAATACTTTAATAACGTTCTCAACACCTTATTTATTTGCTGGGCTGGTGACATTAATAGGTTTCCAGTTGTATTAGCGCAAGGAAATTAGGTCTAAACTAAATAAAACCAAGAAAAAAATTACGCCTGATTAGCCAAAAAATGAAGCCTGTTGTGTCGAATACGTCAAGAAAAATACGTCTTTGAGTGTGAATCATAATAATTCAAGCGAAAACTAGAAAAACAAATTTCCAGAATTATATTCATTAAATTATGTTGTTATAATGGGTTTTAAAAATTTTGTTTTCCATCACTGTTATTATTTTGTGGTGGTTATAACTGGCGTAGGTTTGTACATCGTGTCTATATCTGCATTCATTGTGGTAAGTTAGTAAGAACTAAATAAAAGTTTTGCCAAAGTGAAGAATGATGGATTGAAAGTTCAAAGTTCTTAAGTTCAATCGTAATTCCGTAATTAGATACCGGATAAAGATTAATAAATCTCTGTCGGCACTTGCGAAAATAAATTATTCCTTGTCAGGGGTTGTTTCTGCGTGGTTCACTTTCATTACTTAGTAGTGGTGATTTTCTTCTACATCATTGTACATATAGTTTTCCCTCGTATAAACTTTTTGGATATATGCAAATTACTTGCTCTGTATTATTATTGTTGTTTACATCTTAATTTACGAGATGCCTTATAGTATACAGATGTGCTTATTGGCAATTTAAATTTAGTTATAAGCCCTTGGGATTGCGTGATACGAATTCTCATTTGAGATTACTATTATATTAATCGTCTAATTTTGTTAACGTTAACGCAAAACTCTTAATCTCGTGATCTGGTTCCCCGCCTCAGTGTATGCGTCACGACGTCAATGGCGTATACTTTGATCCTATTACAGGTATTATGAGGTTACAAATAAATACACTTTAATAACTCCGTAAATAATTACAATGTCAATATTCCTGTTTGTCAAAATCTAATCTTCTTGTGACGCAAAGCGAACTATCATATCCGTTTGCATTTTCCATGCGAGATGAAAAAAAGCCAATTCAATATTGACGGAGGAAAATGAATCACAAAACATAATGCCATTTCCCTGACGTCTTGAATATTGCAATGTTTTTGAACTATTGTTATCTCATGACAACATGTACTGAATTGATGCCAATTTTCGGAACGTCCGGTTTAGGGACTTTTTCTAACAAATACCAAACCTATAACAAAACAAAAACAAGTACCAGGTTAATCTTGTAACGAAGTGGCAACTTGCCATAAAACGTGCGGCGTATTGCTACATCAATTTCTTTTACATGTGTTACACAATCTGCTTTGAATACATTTACATTTGAAGCAAAAAATAAATAAACTGGATTATAAAAACGACATTGAATTCAATGTCCTAATCCATATCCACCAACAACGTGATGCCTTTTTTGGGAAAAATCTTCATTTACATACAGACAGAGAATAGGATCAAAGTTTGGTCAGGTTTAAAATTTTCTTTTCAACTGAAAAAGCAAATATATTATTCATGATCATTCAAAGTAACCATATTCATATAGCTGTCAAAATTGTTGACGAAATCCAATTGTTTACTCCAATATCCATCCATGGATCGCGATTTTAGTTTTGGTCGAGCTATGAATCGTTCGTATAATGTGAACAATGAGTCAAAAAACGGTTATATGAAATTAGGCAGAGAACAAATTGAGAATAAAACACCCCTCGTGATATTGAATTTTATGTATATACGTTGAAGCGTATGAGTATTGAGTAACCTATAAAACCATATGTATTTTATTGCGTAAGTATAGGTAAAAACACGGAATCCATACTATGAATCACAGGCTTGCTTAAGCATCTGTTATATTTGGATTAACAGTCAAGATCTTTATATAGAACATCGATTCATCATCATGTGTTCGAACTATTATTTCTGTAGGTCGAGAGAGTCATCACCAAGGGAGGACTTATTTCCTTGTCGCAGAATTGCCTCAAGTCGCAGGGGAACTTAAATTCCCCTGTCAAAATATACCTACAAGAATTGTCGGCCTGTAGGATACACTTTCCATATATATATTTAGAAATCAGAAGTATGGGTTCGGAAAGTTGGATACTCTTTCTCTTATCTTAATTACATTTTAACAAATTCTTCTAATATTTACAAAAAGCGCGTAGAAGAGAAAATATATGGAAATTTATATGATTTTGATCTTTTTTGAATTGAAACAATTCAAATTAATTACATTTCATGGTTTGTCAAAATAATTTCAATATCATCTGAATATTAGTCATTTTCTAGGATTTGGGTGGTCTTCATATTTTATCTTTTGGCTTCTCATTTTTCAAAACATTGAAAAACTATACCAATTTCCATGTAAGATTTACCTACATGTACTATGTTCAAGTGAGATATATTATTATCATTAATGCAAACGCTAGGCAAAGGTAAAATTTATTAATGCCGTGGAAATTCTACAATTATTTAATGCTGTGTAAAACGGCCTCTAAATTAATCAAGTTTGCGTATTTCCTAAAAGAAGAATTTTTATTTAAAGTCAATCTCGCCTTATTCCAGGCTCGTATTTGTTGAGGTATGAAAGCGGTACCGACATTATCGCAGTTTTCTAAATATCCTTTTTTTTTGTGCAATTTCTGCAAAATTTTTATTACGAAGGAACTTTGCGGTTAAGAGGTCTGTCACAGCATTATAAGATGATAATAACTGGGTGCATTGCCTCCATATGAGAATAACGTGCACTCGTAATATGCAAATTACATTCAAATCGGGTCCCAAAGAGAATTACTTCTTTATAATATACAACAAAAAATTTCATATCCAATAAATAAAGCATGTGTTCACAATTTAATGAAAATAATCCTTGTCTCCACGGGAATAACTCGTAATGGACTTCTGGCATTATAATTGTATTATGTCAGCACTCAAAATCTTTGTCCGAAACGATGGACATCAAATTTCAATTTGACGTGAAATGACAGGTAGAAAATGGCCCAGGAGAGTCCAACGATTGTCAAAATTTGGAGTGTTTGTCGGTTAATGCTTCATTAATTCCACTCGGAAGTATAAATTTTGCTTGGCCGGGTGCGACGTCGCAGATCTCGGAAAATTTTTATGTAGGGGATGAGTGCCACCGCCTACGACACGCCGGAATTTAATACAGAACAAAAAATTAAACGAAGTAGACTCAATAATATCGTACGTAGATGAATTATTTATGTCGGCAATTGTTCGATTCCCCCAAAGTCGTTTTTGCGTTGAAGTCCAATTTTTAAAGCAAGGAAAATGCTAGCAAAACGATGTTTGTTTTTGTATTATTAAACATTGGTTACCACGAGACTCGCTAAGCTTAGTGGATTGTGGATTGGATGCTACGTTTCCTAAATGTCAAAAAGATTATTTACTCCAGCCAATTCTATTCCTGTTTCCAAACTTCCCCGCACAGTAAAGGCCGATGTTTTCGTCTACTCTGTTGAACTGTGTTGACTTTAACAACTATGTGCCGATAGTAGGGATGGCATAAAATTTTACAAAATACTACATGAAATAGATAATATTTTTTATCAACATTCAACATTGCACGAAGTATGTGGCCACAGAAGGTGTAGTGTGATATTATAACTTTGAACGCTTTGTATTTGGGCTTATACAGGGATTATTCTATTGTTGGCCTAAAAATGAATAAGTCCAAATACACAAATATATTTTGCCATTAGAAATCTTCGACTATGTATCTATCATACACTCCGTACACGCTGTATTATACGCTATTAAATTATTAATTTATGGGCATATACTCTAATTTTTGTGTCCACTTAACCCATATAATGACCTGAATATACGGAAAAATTATCGTTGTCAATCGCTAGTGGTGCTAATAATCCGATTCGAGTGGAAAATTAGTCTTTACCAATAGTCGTTAAATCCGTCGATGGGGTTACAAACATGCACAACTAGCGGATATAAAAATGCTTCTCGTTTATAAAGTGATATCGACCCGGGTATCTATATAGTTACCATCTGGACTTGTGTTGAATTTTATAATCATCATGGTACATGGCCTTTTCTAACAGAAGTAGTCGCACTGGTAATTCATAGAGATAGCTACATTTATATATATTTTAATCCGGTGGTTTGAACGATTAAGATTGATTTCAAACATTTGACCGTGGTCGATTATTTTAACCGATATACTATATCACTCATGACCAGTAATATTGATCGTGCTGTGTCAATGGCAATTTTTCAATCATGTTTTGTGATTAGTGCGATACATTCATCATATTGATTTCTATAAAGAGTTTAGGTTATAGGTTTCTCTTAAGTTACATTCATTATCTGTTATTATGCAAATACCAATCGGACATTTCCACAATTGAAACAGCACCAATTATAAAATAAATTGTCTCAGTTCAGAAATTCACACGGCCTGGCTCCAAGTGAATCAAGTCCAAAAAATTCTAAAATTTTAAATCTTTGTAGAGTCTCAATAACTTCCCGTATGAAGCCCCGAAACACTGAAAAAATGCTCAATATTTTAATTAAAAGAAATCATAAAGTAGTTATTACATATTATATTTGTATTTGGAATTATCAGGTTTGCACTTTTTTATTTAAACTTTTCTTTAATCCTTCATTGTCGGAATTAGCTGGATTTATTGCACTTGAATTTTGTTGATCAGAAAAAAACACGAAATCTTAGCTTATCCTAAGAAACTTGGGAGGTTGTCAATTTATTTATAACATCAAATTTGTGCTTTAATTGCTCTGTTAACGGATAAGAACACCTTGTAACTGTTCTACATGCTAGATACTTCAAGAGAATACACTTCATATGCCAACTTGTACAACAATACCGGTTCGAAATGTGAATATTATGACGTTTGTACTAATAATAAACGCCAGATAAATTGGCGGGTGGCATTTTTAAGTTATAGAACTCAGGCCTAATAGTAATGTATGTTTGAAAATACATAAATCTCAGTGACAGCAGGTTCACTCAAATGTCGTCAGCCGTCGATCATCCGTCTGCAATCTTTATGAATTATAGATTTAGAATAGAGGAATTCCCGGGCAAAATGCGACGCCTGTTGCAATATCAGATTGTTAGAAAATGGGAACATGAGATGGTATCGATTAACGCGGTAAATTGCAAGATATCGGTTTCTGATGGGATATTAAAATATCTATCGAAGCTTTCGGCGCGGAGGCAATTTTTAGAAGCCCAAGTCTCAATAATGGTTAGTTACAGAAAAAAAGAAAATTAACAAAATCTAGGACGCGATCTATTTGTGACCCATTTTATTTTCAAATGAATTTAGGCGTAATAAAGTAAACAATTCAAATATTTTGGCAACTTTCTCAAGTGTGCGTCATTGTGTGAAGAAAAGGTTAAAATCTCGAATGCTTTTGTTTAATTTTAAAGTCCACGTATTTAGTTTGACCACGGATCGACACCATTAATTATTTGTGCGCCTCTTACATCTTATAGATTTAGACCTATCGAATAATCTTGATCTATCTGTTGAAAAATTAATGCGTTACTATTCAAAAGTATACAGATGGTCATCGGTGACACTTGAAAATTTAAAACCGCCTGGCGCAACTTTTCACAAGATTACAAATGTCGGACGTAATACGTAAACATTACAATTGCGTCTGTCGCAAACACCTTATTAAATAAACGTTGCAATGGAAACTTAATGTATAAATTGAATTTTTCGGGGAAAAACAATCGTACTTTAACAGAAATGTCCGGCGTTAAGATTATCCAAACTTAAACACTAGATAAGTTTGTATTGACATCAATGGATTTAGTCTCGCACTAGCGTGGTTCTAAGTCATTGTTTATGCCACATCTCCAATTGAATCTTCGAGCGCCAAAGAGAGGCGGTAACGTCACATTGATGATTTCACGTAAATGGATCCTAATGATCTTACGAGTGTAAAATTGCCGAATCAAATTATCTATTATATTTGAGGATTAATCTGAATATGGTGATTTGCGGCAAAAAAACGTGTGAAGTGTGAATTTTTTTGAATGAGTTAGATTTGAATTATCGTACACTTCTTCTCCGCTCCATTTCTTGAACAAAAAAAATAATTATGGCTTCGCGAAAAATTATAGATTTTAATCAGAGGCATTCATTGTGTGAGCGGGGAATGCATAATGTATAAATGACTTATACCAATCTGTATTAGTATTCATCTGATTCATTTTTTATATACTCAAAATGCGTGGTGGTGCCGATTAAATCGAAGCATACCAAATCACCAAATTTGATGATGAAGAAAATTCAAAGTTGGTGTCAAATAAATACATTACGATCATGCGAATGGAAAACATCAAAATTGTTTGAAATAAAAATAATTGCAGGTACATTTGCATCGATAGCTGAAATGTGATGTGATGGACAAATTTAAACACTTATTTGAGTATATCGATTTCAAGGACTGCTTTCAATGTTTTGGAACCATGAGATGATACTTTTTCATAAAAAACTTTATGTTTTCCGAAAGAATAATATATATATATATATATATTTTTTATAATATTATCTTATTATAAGCTATATTGATCATTCGACCAAATAACAAAATCGATGAAGGTTTCGGTAACTGAATTCTGGCAAGCCTTTTCAGAACTGACTTTTCTGTTGTCCATGGTTAATCTGCTGCCAATGTCATATTTTTGCATCGGATTATTTCAGTTGATTGACAAGTATACATAACTCGTTCTGACAGCTATGATGGAGTCATATCAATAATAGGAGAATATTCATTATATGAGAAATTATTGGAATTCATAATTCCCTGACAACGGAATTTAAATAGGCGTCATTTGCTAAAATGTTAATTGCACTGCAATCTGTTTGTATATATATCAAATGTCGGCCAGGCAAATGAATTGACACACTATGAGAAGGTCACCACAATATGGCTGCAATTTCTGGTTATAAGCACTATGCTGTATGGAGATACTGTAACGGCATAGTCATAGAAAGTTTGTGGGCATTCCCCCTCAATATATGGTACAAGTCGTGACAAATAAGGTATATAATATTCAACAATGCAAATTTTTCGACATCCCATGTTGTGTATTTATTGCTTGTTGTTGTAAGTGTTATTTTCTGAACCGGGCGTGGAAACTTTCAGTCATTTTGTAGATTTATTTAAAAAGATGTGTAATACATTTTGGTAATTAAATTATATATATATATATATACATTATTATATATTATAATAAACTTGAGGTGAATATAAAATGGTTTTTTTTTCAGGTTACGGCCATTCAGTTCCTCATACCGTGAAAGGAAAAATATTTTGTATGATTTATTCTTTAATTGGGGTTCCACTGTATCTAGTCATGTTCCAAGCTATGGGAGAAAGAATCAACAACGCTGCTAAATATGCTATAAAAAAAGTTGGAAAAAGATTGGGTCTCAAATGTTCAGAGGTAAGAAATTTTTAGTTGTGGTTTTCGTGAATCCACTTCTTCTTTTATAACGCAAAGAATTCATTGAAAAACTAAAATCATTTTCAATTGATATTTCAGCACAGCGCAACACACCTTTCTAGTAACCCAATTGATATTGATTTGATCCTTTTCATTCCCGATACGTTGCACAGATTCGTGGAATTTCGTTTCGTTAGTCTGTGTCCACGGCACCGTACGGTTGTGTATTTTTTTTTCCTACACGCAAAATATTGTCTATACATAGTCCTCATATAAGCTGCTATATGTAATCTGTCTCTAAAATCCAGCAGTCATAACTCATAATGCATCAAATGGATACTTCTACACGGCCTCAACGGCGTAAAATGCCCAATAAAGTAACCCGTTGACTTAAATCTTCTTAATTTGATAGCTCGGAACAAATTTACGCCATTTGCAACCAGTTAGGAACATCATTAAACCTGGCAACCCTGAAGTTGATTACCGCCAATTGAGCGAACTTTTGATTAAAGGTTACGCTTCGGTATTATCGAAAAGTCGGGTCTTATTTTATAACCTAAAAGTTTAGAGGTTCGATTTTTCATTGGTCATGGTCTTTTTTAGCAAGTACTGTGTACCTTATTTAAGTGCGTCAAACGAGGAATCAGAACTAGCGCGAGAATTAAATATCATACGAGCCTTGTAAATGATGCGGGGTCGTAGGTCACGTAGGAATTTACAACTCGGAGTTTTATATATTCAGGAATCACCAGTTTTTGTCATTCACGTCGTCGCCCAGTGATGATTCTACTGGTAAACCATATGAGGATTATGATTTTGTAAAAAAAAGATGTGAGGGTTAGGTAAACTCGATATAGAAATTTTATCGTATTATGTCACGGACTCGCATGTTCATGCCTAAAAATTCCGCAGCTAGGAAGGCACATGCACGAAACCATGATGTGAAATCGTCTTCAATTTTTAGTTCTTTTTTGATCGATAATTGAATTTGTTGGTATAAAATTTTGAAGCCTAATTCGGCGCTTTGGGATTTATAGATCACACCTTCCGGCTACGACTCAGACACCAATTCAGTGTCACATGTTATAATTAGCGTTGAGGTTGTCGTCTTCCGAACACGTTGAAATGCTTCTGGAGTTATTTCAAAGGGATTTTCTGTTACAGACTTCCCTTGGAGCCAAGTTTCAACGAACCACACCACTTTGGGGGAAATTCTGGAAAGCCTAGAGTTAATTTAAGCGGCAATTATAGTTTAAAATTTATTTATAGATCATACATAATAAAACTGTCAATTATGGTAATTTTGAATCGTTCTCTGACAACGAATACTTGACATATATAAATTGACTTTAATGAATACTAACAGTAATCGGCGCTAGGTTGGACGAATATTCTACGCAAGGAACGAGATTCCTAATTCCCGTCGTATTTACCATATATATATATAATTCTCTGGTTCTACATTTGATTAGGTTCCCTTCCATTACCATTACAGAAAGCTGGGCGGAAGAGAAAACTATGTTCTTCATGTGGTGGAAGCCTATTTCAGTATTCGTTTTCTCACTGTAAAAAGACCAAATCGTATCCTATCCTAAAACCTTGCTCAGACCTCACGGTCTAACTTGACCCGATTCTATCTATTTGTGTGTCCACTTTGATTAATTATTATTTAAATATCATTTGATTCCTAAATTTATTGCTCATTTTTATGCAAAAGATCAATTCAAGTTTTAATGTGTCAAGTCATTGTATTATATTCGATAATTTCAAAGTGACAAATTGAAAATTCGTTACATCATAGACCGATCCACGCGAGACTTCAATTACTTTACAGTTTATTTCTTTGTGTAGGTATCTCTATCAACCTTGGTGCCTTTTGGATTCTTTTCCTGCGTGTTGACTGTAACCATCGGTACAGTAGCGTTTTCGAAATTCGAAGGCTGGTCAACCTTAGACAGCGTTTATTACTGCGTCGTCACATTAACGACTATAGGTGAGTAAGAAGTGAAAATCAGCTCCATAAATGGCGGACACTAACATTATTAAATTGAATTCGTTCTGATAGAATGTTGCTTTTTTACGAGATTAAACATTGTTATTTTCAATCTCAATTGTCAGTTCCATTTTATTACTCCCGAGACCAGATGATACCTTTATGACATGTGAACTTGACACAACAATGCATTTGCATATTAAAAAGTAATCGTGATGAACGAAATTGTAGGTTTGCTTTACACGAGTATTTGCACACTGGCGTAATGAATGAATGAAATCCAATAATATGGTATAAATGACGAAAATTCTCTAAGAAATTTGTTTTGACAAGATGCAGACTAAAATTTACCAAAATAAACAAGTGAAATTTAAGATTTTTGCATAATAAATTATGTGCCTGATAAACGCATGTACCGTATATAGTATGTCCATAGCTGACGGCTAGTTGGTCGTACTTTGAATAATCGTTCTTAACTTGGGCAATAATTTTCAAAATCGCAAACGTAGGGATAGCCCCAAAAAAATAATGGTAGTCGGGCCTAGAAAATAATACTTTGGCCAAAGGAGTTCAAAATATTTCCTCGCAACGACGTAACAAAATCTTTTGGGGGAATATATCAAAAACTCTAGACCCAGTCAACTTTTATCTCTCAAATTGTGCATTTACTGGTTTGTTCGGTAATTTCCAAGACTCACGACTCCGGAATGAAGTGAATGATTTTTCCACAGAAATCGTAGCCACAATTAGGGTAATATATTTTATAAATATCTCTCTGTAACATTAAATTTTAAAAATGCGTTCACAGGTTTTGGAGATTACGTACCTCTGCAGGAAAAAAGGGCTTTGGAAGAAAGACCCAGTTATGTCGTATTCAGCTTTATTTATATCTTACTTGGTTTGACAATTATCGGTGCCTTCGTCAACCTTGTGGTGCTTCGATTAATGGTGACGACAGCTACTGGCGAACCCCCGAAAGAAGAAGAAACACAAGTTGATGGATTTGGAGAATCTGCCATAATATCTTCATACCAAAATCAAGCTAATTCAGGCTGTAATCCTTATAATAATGATGACGACCAGAGGCACGATTCCCAGGGACATGATAATCAGGGCATATCGTTGCCAGGAATGAATGGTGATATAAGAAATCGGGTAGGACAATGTTACTAATTATTTAAATAGTTACTTTGCACCTTATGTCTCATTATAAAACCAAGGCATAAGTCGATGCGGGTTCGTGCTTGAGCTTAAATGGAGCAAATTGGGGTCGTGTATTTTACAATCTGTGGCGTACTGTCACACACTGTCAAAGATGACTAATGCAATATAGTTTATTGATTTGAACTCCAACCTAATTCGGATTTCAAATTAATTTTTTAATTAATTTCTTATGAGATTTTACTCGAGTAAGCTCGTCAAAACCAATAATTTTACTTTATTCCTCCTTGAATATGGCAAGGGCAAGCTGTCATAGTTTGATTGGGTTCAGGAGTTATAACTTCTGATTTACATCATGGGAAGGCCACGACTGTTTAATCCGTACTGATCAGCCAAACTAAGGTGTATTTTGTGAAAGCTACATCGAACCGAGATGATCGCGATATTTGCAAGCCCGGTAACTCCCTGCGTCTGTGTGTTTTTTGTTTTTGAGAATACACTATAAACAGCGTGGGAAGCGTATGAAAACTCTATATACTATTCACGCAATTTCTCGCTTGGGTCTTAAAATATTGTTCATATTTACACAGTATTCTGTAAATCGAAGTACAACAAGCAAATGGTACGATGACGAGAATCGAAATAACACGAGACAGCGCAGTTTTAAAACATCACCCGAAGAAAAGATGGACGACAAAATCAACCAACGATCACGGCACAGTGACGGAATATTCTATGATTTGTATAGGGGAGAAGGTCACAGGCAATCGACAAATCATTTTCCTACTAACACAAATCCTAAAAACAAAACTGTGATGAAATTTCAAGATTTTAAATTATGTCAAAATAAATCACAAGACACCCAAATGACTTCTTGTAGCGAATCTTTGGAACAAGAGAAAGTTTTGGTATCAAAAATATCTCCACCTATACAAGCGTATGAAAACAACAATGCAAGTTCAAAGCTTGATTGTGTAGTCTGTAGAACATCATGCTCAGTTTGCAGTAACCTTTTCTCATTGCATCGATCTTTTGATAGTATAAGTGACGCCAAAATCAAAAAGTTGTTAAATCAGAATGGGACACACTTACATCCTATAACAACAAAGAACACGAAATACGCCGTACAAGACAAATCGACAGCTCGGTGCTGTTCGGATTTCATGAATACAAAAATAGTCGTAACAGAAATAGCAGAAAATACTTCGAAACCGGGTCGTTCAAGTTCTTTGCGAATTCCTGTGCCTGATAATCCTGAACAAAAGACGTTGTTGGAAGTTAATTCAAATAAACGCGCAAGAAATTTATCCATGGATAGTGGATATGAAGGAATGGTCAATGAATTTTTGAATCCAGATAATACGAGATGGTAGGTATTTGGGATCGTCGTAAGTTTTATTACTTTTTAACATTGATCTTGAAGAACAGAAATTAACAAAGGTAATAATTTGTGTATACTGATTTGTGTATACTTCATGCAAAAATAAGAAAAGGGACTACGTATATGCTACGCATAAACTTACTCATAAGAATTGCAATTTACTCTACAAAGATAAATTCTCATATGATCATACATGAATCTAAATTCTCTTTGAGCCATGATCGATACTATGCAGAAATTTTTGGCTGGCCTTAACCTAATGAATTTTTCTATTATTTACAGGCGATCTCGTTCAGTTAATTTGGAGAAGCCAAACAACCTATCTAATGAAAAAGAAACCAGTCGCCCTTCGTTTCTTTCATTAACTTCGCCACCCGAATCTACCGACGTCTTTCCATTGGAAGCTTCTAGTTCATCTCATTCTACTTCATCCACATGTATAGAACCAGATACTTGTTCGCCAAAATCTTGGACTCCACCTTACAGCTTTCCTGGATTTGTGGATACTGAAAAAAATCGTCTTCATTTCGAAAAAGAAGGCAATTTTTCAAAACGTAATATTTCGTTTGAACGGCAAACGTGGCCGCCTATCGGTGAAAGTAATCATCGATATCCTCCAATACCAGCACGAAATGAAAGCACGGAAAACACTTGTGCAGACGCTCCCGCGATTGTTATAACACTGTGTGACGATGACTCACGGTAAGTTTAGTACATTCAAAAAACTTCATGGCTCTTTAGCAATTGACATATGAAAAAGGTGGGAACGTCATAGTGTAGGTAGAGTTAACAATTGCACTTCTATTACAAGATTTCATTTAACTAAATTAATTTATTTTTGAAATGCAATGTTTTTCACACATGCAGGTACAACTCGGAAAAACCTGATCCTTCGGAAAACTCTCCTGACGATACTGAATTGGTCGATGTTGTCGTGGAAGACAATAATAACTTAAAATTGAAACAACAACAGAATAACGACCTTCAGTCTATTATCCCACCACACAAAAATTTCCCACAACTCAACATCATCAGAAATTTGTGCCGTGAGCATCAAACTCAATACCAAAAGTTGTACAACATGTTATCCGGAAAAACTCATTCTAAACTTGCGATTGATGCAAATGCCAATGAAGTGGAAAATGTGGCATCCATATGTACAAATGGTTTATCTGTGCCGAGGAAGAATAACACAGAATCGATAACTAAAAGCAGTATACCCACAACAAAATTATGTTCGAATGGAAGCGTGGTGACAGATTACAAGAACGGATCGTCAGTATGCCCCGTGTTAAACAATGGGCATACACATATCGGAAGCAGCGTCGGAATAAGACGAGCTTATAGCTGCGGTACTGCTGATCAAAAGTAAGTGTCCCTATATTTCAAGATAGGACATTTTAGGAATTTTTATTTCAAAGTGATATATACTCTCGTAAAATGTATCATTTTTATCTGCAAATAGGATTAGGATGTCATTGTAATGTTTATATGAGTGAATGGATGGAAGCAGATTCGAGGGTCTATGACAAACGCGAAACGGGCTCTTGTCCTGTTACTGGCCCTGGTTGTATGTGAAATCATAATACATAGGAAATTCACAAATATTTCGCGTTTCATAAAAATTTCGGTAAATATTCTTATCAATTTTATAAAAAATTTGAAAGAATTACCCGTATTTTATTCTGTTTCAGACTTCAACAGCATATATCACGATTATCTCAGTCGTTTCGTGGGCGAATCAAAACTATGGAAAATAGTAACAAGAATGGTGTCACTCATAGGCATGCACCACGAGAATGGTCGTCAAAATCAATTAGATTGAAAAATATGGCTCAAAGTGCAGAATCACCCTACGTTCGAACATCAAATAAAAAAGATAGTTTGCCTGTGCTTGATAAACCAAAACGACGAAAAAAAACGAGGCTCGACATGATACGAATGTTTTTGCTGAAAAACAAACAGAACGGGAGAAGACGAGCGAATGTTTCTACTGTATTCAACGAAAAACAGACACCCTTACCTTACACCGCCGCGGCATCGCCCATAGACAGTTTTGGCGGAAGCGATCCAACTTTAAAACATTTTATTGTTATAAATCCCGTTCATTCGGCTTCCACTCAATCTTTGCCAAATTCAACAATGCTCTCAACCCAGATTCGGAATGGCAAGTATGCGCACAATCAGGTCATAAATGGAGACGCATTGACGTACGCGGAATTAAAGAAAGGAGATCATAATTTATCCAGCAAATTGAACAATAAATTTGAAACGGATAATTTACCAAACGGTATGGCCATTTACTGAAGAACATGGCGATGAACTAATATGAAATAAAACAGCCAGATGTCGTGAATATTGAGCATGGCCGACACTGAAAAGCACCACATGCAAATACTACAAAAAGATTAATTGTGTTAGATTAATGAAAAGTTGCGTCAGATTTCCTCAACATGTATTCACAAAAAATCAAAATATAGTGATAGCTGAAAAACACACAAGACTTGGAGTGAAGACAATGGTGTATTTTTATACAATCCATAATCCACTAACAAATTTCGAGTTATAATATCATTATGCTTATATACTACTGCGAATTTTGTACTTGCTCTTTTTCGGACTATTTATCTTTTTAAATATTTACGGGATATTCGTGAGGTTTAGGACAATAAGATTCGGAGACTGAATCAGTGATCCTGTTAAGTTTCAAAAGGGTTCATCCAATCGTGTATAAAGTGAATAATGCTGAGTTTGCTGACTTTTCTTAAAACTTGCACTATACTAAATCGACCCAAGCAAAATCAGAATACGGAAAATATATTTATTTCTCTTTTGGTGCAGAGAAAACAGCAAACTTACGAAAAAATTATAAGATGTTTTTGTAGTCTGTTTGTTCGTGCTTAATTTAATAAAAAAGAACAATTTATATATATTATTATAGTAAAGCCTACATTAGGTTTTAATTTTGAAAATGATTTTTTTACCTAGTTATTATTAATATGTTATTGTCTCACGTTTTTAATAAAATCAATCAAAACAAAACAATGTCTTTTCTATGAAATGAATTTGGAAACTTTGGCCTAACTTTTGTCGGGTGCCTAAAAAATGTCATTTCCCACTTGTACCGCGTAACACCACATTCGTCTCACTTCCAGCACACTTGTTTCAATTGTATGAATACCACCTCATATGCCTTGACTAACTACTAACCGAACCACACAGAAACTTTCAAAATTGTATTTCAAGAGTTGAAATTTGTCTGTAGTAGATGAAGTACAAATAAATAGTATTTATGGTACAGTAGCTCAAAATCATGCCTAAACAGCATCGCCTTTACCAGGTAACAGACCAGAATTCCTGAGATTCAAATCTAGTATGTACGCATGGCTCCACTTACATGATGGAGAAGAACAACAAGATATTTTCCCGATACAGTATAGCTAGGCTTTTGTTAATCCATTACCCTCATTAGGCAAAAGAAACACTGACTCACCGTGAGTGAATTTCAGCAGCTTGTTGAGCTTGACCTAGCTCAATCAGCGGAATAGTCACGAAGTCAGAAAGTAAAATCAATAACTTTTAAGTTTTTGTTTTAAAAACAAGCGATACGATGGTATTGTATTCTCAGGCAATCTAGTTTTAGGTCGCGCCCCACAGGTTGGGAAACACTGATGTAGCCATATGTTAATTTGGAGATCGACGAAGAGGAGATGCAATATAACTTTTATCGGAAAATATCAAATAGGTAACAAATAGCAAATTGGTACACATAGTCCCACCGAGAAATATATGGTTACATTGATACGATGATCAATAAAAACAACGTGGGAAAGTAGGAAAATATGGCAAACTGTGTTGGCGAATTCTGTTCATGAATGTTGTGTCGGACGATCACAAAAATCAATTACCAGGGAAAATTATTCACGTTTGTGATTTGCTAATTACAATTGCGTGGGTGATGATGTGCGTACATGAAAACAAGGATAATTGTGATAAACAGGATAACGTCAATTTTTGGCGTCCTTGCATTTTGCAATTTAATAAGAGATCAACTTCATTAGGAAGTTTAGACAGGATCACATTACGATTTTTATGTCGATACTGTGTCCTGCATTTTATTCCACTCATTGCACAACGACGAATCTAAACTGAAATAAAATAACAATAAAAATACATGACGTAATTCGTTAGATATGTTTTATGGATTTAGAGACAGAGTAGGTAGATCTAATGAGTTTAACTTTTCTATATCCTGAACTAGACGAACGCAGATTATTCCTAACTCATTCAATCACTGCGAATCAGCGCTCGAGAGAAAAATTAGGAATGATTGAACAAAAAAAAATATATATTTTAATAAATTCTACTAAATTGAATTCCAAAATTAGGGTTGTTTGAATACCTGACCACCACGGGTGGAAAATAGGAGCCGTAATGTCGTAATGCCTTGCTTATATCACTAATAACCGTATATTACAATCGACGATGTCAAGATATTTTATTGCACTTGGGCACCATCTGGAGGTTCATAGAAAGAAATTATAATTTATACTACATTACATCAGTGACATTACATAAATGAAGTAGACTGCTGAATACTACAATGCAATGTTTCACATTTTTACACTCATTAAATATAAGATGCCAGCTTTGTAAAAGAAAATCAAAATCATTTCCATAAACAGTCAGTATGCACAAGTTTTATGAACGAAGCTTCACATCTTTGTCAAATGGACAAAACCTCTTCCGTAACACGAGTTACCTGAATCATTGGTCCATAAAATGTCTCGCGCGGGAATAACCTTTTAATCATAATTCACATTATTTATAGTATGAATTGAAAGGTTGCAGTAAATGTGGTAGAGTCGAAAAATAATTTGATAAATTATCGAAATGCAAAGTGTACAGTAAGTACATAGATGTAATCCAATCTATTTATACGGATTTGGCTGATTTTTTTAAAAACTCAGGCTTCCTTTTAAAACATATTTTAATTAACGAATCCCTGGGACATGTTTCAAAAAATACATGCAATGTATCGTAAATTTCGTGGGTTGGCTAAAATTGACATTCGTCGCCACTATCTACAATTTTGTACTTTTGGACAAAACACCTGCCTACCATTTCCCCAAAGAGGGCTTAGAAAATGAGGGGTTGTTTTCAGTTGTCTCTGGAATTCTCCAACACAGATGGTTGATTCGTAAGTATTGAATTAATACCTATTATCTTAATACCTATCTTAATTATTTTACTACAAATGTTGAAATGTATACCTGTATGATATTGTACCTACCTTTTGTGCAGATGTGACATTGTATATATTCTCTGTATTGGCACTTCTGCAATTGTTTACCATTACTGTTGGCATATCACAGCATTATACAGTTCATATATACTGACATGCAAGCACTGTAGAACGCCTCATAGTAGATATTATTTATGTTGGTCTGAGCCTGATTTTCAAGTTCTTCTACAAACTTAGCATAAATAAGGCTATATTTAGGTTATACAAAAGTATATTCATTCTACGACAATATGCACTATTTGACCGAGCTATTGCACAACTCTTTGTTATCTAACAATCAGTTCTCTCAAACCTTCAATCATCTCTTCTGCAATTCTGATAAAAGCAATCACTGTGGGAAGTCCCTCCATAGCAAATCATAAGAGGAAAAGCAATCCAAATATGATGCATGAAGGCTGTGCAAAAACAAGAAGATTTGAAATCAATCCAAATTTGAAGCAAGTTTCACTTCGGGAGGTGGATTTCAAATTCCCATAATAAATGAAGACAGATCATGAGAATTCAATATCGGAGACTCCCTTCGACAAATGCATCATTGCACACATCTCGGTTGCACACCTTGCTTTCATGCTAACGTTGTTGTCAAGATCTTGGGTTTTGCTACTCAATAACCAGCTTTGATTCCCAATGGCTTCACTTACACAAGAATGCTTCTCGTCACTTTTTTCTTTTGATGCTTTTGCAAAGTTTTTAATTGTGGAAAAAATGAACTTTTTCCATTCTTCGTTGGTCTTTCATTCTCCATCTATACAGTGTCAGGAAATTTAGAAAGCATCTGAAGATTGATATCTTTTATCTATTTTACAGTTGTACAAGTGAGATACAATTACAAATTTGGTTTATGAAATTACAGTAATGGGTTAAAAAACATTCAGTTTTGATAAACGGCAAAATGAATAAAACTTTTTGTAGAAAACCACTAGTTCAATCATTCCCAGAATACTAAGGAGTAATGACTGTCAACGAAAAGATGATTGATATTTTAAATTGAGGCTCTGCAAAAATTACTCTAATGCGAAAGTATCAAATTAAAGCCATACAAAACATTCAAAACAATTGCCCTATTGATGTGAAAAAACTCCAGTATTGTCTTAATTATATAAAAATGCTTTGATATAATATTTGTTACAATCAATACTGAAATGCGCATTTTATTCAACCACCCAACTTTTTTTCTCGCTTTATTGGCAGTAGAAAGATGGAAAAAAGATTTCTTATCACATTCAAAGTCAACATTTAGGTCAAAAAGAAAAGTAATTCAACAGTAATTGGTTGACCATTGCTTTGTGTGGGTCAGAATGCAAGACTGATACTGAGCCGGAGTTTTTATTATTTATGAACCAACAACATATTTCTTTGTTACAATAATACCTGTCATAAGTAAATCACATTAGCTCATTTAGTACCTGGATGAGACGGGTGTAGAACATTGCAAACTTTGATATCATTTCATAATATTTGAATGCATATTGCAAATGTAATATACAATGATCGTCTACATTAACTCCCAAGATGCGAGTGTTAGTGCAATGCCGTGGAATGCTAGTGGGTCTATGCCAGGGGTCTCCAGTCCTCCGCACACGGCTAACGGATGCGCATTTGCACTTTTTGCTAAGACGAGCAAACCAACGCCAAAATAAGGCCCAACATCGAAACCAAATATCCAGCACAAATAAATGAATATGTTTCATGTCTCGTTTGCTGTAAGATTCAAGTCTAATTTCAACACAATACATTCAGATGCCCATTTTTGTACCTAATTTCTTGGTTTGCGGCCCGCGCCTGGTCAATAAATTTTAAAAAGTGGCCCCGCGACATGTTTTGAGTTGGAGACCCTGGTCTATGCGATCTTCGGCAAAACTTAACATTCTTACAATTCATACATGTTTGCTATTATTAAAAAATTAGTTTTTGTGATCAAAATGTTTTATTTGGATTTTGATGTGTTGCTTCTTTAAAATACTGCTATTATGCATATCCTAACCTTCGCACGCGATATTGATCTATAACACGCAAAGTTAAGTCAGAATTGTGCTCAACTATAAAATATGACAACGTGAAACAGCCATATTATATTTAACATTCTGTATATTCAACTCTATAATTTCTTAAATCATATTTAGGATATAATCACTGAATGATACAGATAGCAGTGTCTGTTTTTCAGAAGAAACCACTTCTATTTGCATGATTTCTTAGTTGAATATCCACCTGTTATTCAAGTTTACAATTTGAAAAGATCCGTGAAATACACCACTTGCTTAATTCTTTATTTTTTTGTACTACATTACCATCACATGAGATATGTTGCGTTGCATCTGTTTTTAGGTGTCTCAGATGAAGCTTGAAGTGGTAAATTTTTGCATGCTTGTTTACATATATGTTGCCTGCTTCACTCATACAATAAACTTCTGGCTCACAAAATCTTTTTTTTCAGAGGTTTCACTTGGCTGTTCCATTGTCGGCGTTGGCCTGAATTATTTCTAGTCTTCTATCAAGAGCTAGCTGCCATCTTTTATACATGGTTAAACCTATACATAACAGTTGACGCTTGAGACTCTTGTATCAGTACTCTTTTTAGCTTACTAGAAGGTGTAAGTCCTTGTCTTGAACAAACTTGTGTCTTGAAACAATATCATGCTGAAGGTATTTTATTTGACATTTCAAAACAATTATTTATTCAATTTTCTATATCAATGAAGAGGAAAGTCTGAGGAAAATCATTACTGTAATTTCATAAACCAAATTTGTGATTGTTGTTGTTCACTATAATGTGAAAAGGTCTTGTTGGATAATCTCCGATACAATGCCTGCAACATGAACAATTTTTGGATTTTGAAAACTTGACTTGATTTAAATTTGAAGTTTAATCTCAAGGCGTAATCGGAAGTATTGAACGTAACATCCGAATATGAAAGAATAGTACATTTTTTGGTTGGTTTGTCCTGCCATTTTCAAAGGATAAATATTTACTTGGGTATTTTACTCACGCAATTTTCAGAAAATAATATGCATGGAATATGCTTGCCACATTCATACTGGTGCACTAATCCTTCGAGACAGAATACCTAAAATAGCTTCAAACATGATTATTTTCTGTATTGCAAACAATTTGCAATGCACATATACACATAGAGTCTTTAAATCTTAGGTTTTGAATTAGGTTGAGGTGCATGGTGCAAACTAATTCCTCATGATAAACTCAATTTAGTGTTTAAACAGGCCAGTGAGCTGGTATTTGTTACAAACTAGCATTCTGGGGTTTTCTCCCAACTTGAAAAGATACCAATTTTCCACATGATGAATATGAATTTCTCATTGGGGTTCTTGGGTAATACAATTTTTTATGGGTTGATAGTTTTTTTTTTTTTTTTTTTTAAAAGATTTTTTTTTAAAGATATGATGGAATCTTCAATCATTTTGATTCGGTACTATGAATATCACATGGACATTTCTCTCTTACCTTATAACTTTTTGTACAGACCTTATGGTCGTTTAAGAGTTATACATGTAATTTTCATATCTTGCGAATTTTGAAAAAATGTGACTTTGATGACAAAACTTGCTGGGTTGCAGCATTAATGTAGTATACCCTGCAATTTCATCAAAATTTGTATAAAATTGTTAATAAAACTCATTTGTTTCACAAGTTTTTCTAATATAGACTTTGATTCGGCTTTGTCAAAGCACCTAAAAAAATGAATATTGAAGTCGGAAATCAATCAAGTGCAGATACCTCGATGTGCTTAAATCTCCAGTTCTCAAGAAAACAGGATGATGGTCAAGATATAATATATCAATATTGTCATCTCATTTTTTGACAAACATAATAGAAGAAATTGTTTATTACCTTCTCACTAGGGATGTAATTTTCGAATATTTTATTTTCGAATCAGAAAGCTACGATTCGAATATTTCCCAATCTGACTGTTTAATATTTTTTAAAGCCTGGAAGAACTATACAGTGTCTTATGTGATTAAGTAATAATAAAAAATTAGAAAGTGAAAAAAATCTTAATAAAAAATATGTAAATCCCATCCTATCCTTAAATCACGTCGGATGATTAAATTTATGAAATACTTCAGGAATGAAAAAATTCATAATTATGACAACAAAATTGGGTGTACTCTTTCAAAATTGACTTTTATAATTTATCCAAATGCCCTTTATTTAAATATTATGGTACATAGTAGTAAAATGTGTTTCAGTACCGCTCAATGCTAAGCAGATGAACATGCTAGCATCAAAAAATTTGCATCAGAAGGTGAACGTGCGTACAGTTCCATTTTGTAAAATCAATAGCACTAATATATACGGATAAATAATATTTTATTGATACTGATACCTTTCCGTGTAGCTTAAAAATGATTGTGCGGATGAATATCCGATGGAAAGCAAAACCTGATCAAATGGTAAAATTGCTTCACAACACTTTTGAACACATTTTAGTTTGGTTCATTTTGCTGTAATGTGTGTACACCCCTAGTGTAATATTTTAGTTTGGTTTTGGGGAAATTAAATAACTAGAATCCTAGGGCTAACATGTGTCCACATTTATAGCTGTATTGCCTGCATGAATATTGCATGTTTGTCATCATGTATTTTGCACAATGCTTCCTAAGTTAATTTTTTTCCCATACCGGTATATCAGTGTGATATTTTAACACTTGCATAATATATGTGAAAAATATTATACTGAGCATGCCACCTTGTACAACTCTAAAAATTCTGATGGGATATGTATTTTGAGTAAGAAGTTAAGGCTGGATAATTTTCCTGATATCAAGCTTAGTAATTCTGTATTGGAACTAAATAACTTGGTGTAAAAATAACTTGTTTTCTTCTATCAAGTGATCCTAAAGATGACCTTGAATTGAAACCTTGAAGCAATCTA